AAAAAAAAAAAAAAAAAAGAAAAAGATACTTCCCCTCAAAGTTACTGAAACCAAAAGATCCAGAGTATTAAAATGTAAAGCATAAGAAAACCTGTGTCACTTCAGAGTGTCTCAAAATATACTACAGAAGACAGCTGTTGTGCAATTTGATCTCAAGAGCATTTAAAAAACTGGCATAAAATTAAAGTTTTTTTTTCCACTTCGTAATGCAAGTTGATGCCTGTTTACTTTGGAAAGTTATTTATTCAACACCTTTACTTTTCCTCTTCATTCGCAGCTCACTCATGGTACAAACTATAAAAAACTGAAGCCTTGAAGGACTATTTTTCTTCACACACATGCCTGTTAAATATACCTACTATAGAAGTAGGTTTAAAATTTACTGAAATAATCTTTTAAAACAAGATATTAGAGTATCTTAATTTTGTATGTGGTTTTAAATTTGAAAGCAAATTTTTCCTTAATTATTTTAAACCTAGGCAAGTTGTGTATATATACATTATTTAAAACTTATATAGTATTTAAACACTGTGTGTGCACTTACCTATATAAATACACACACTGGGTATACCTTGGAAATATTCAGTTCTAGACATCTGCAATAAAGTAAGTCATGCAAATTTTTTGATTTACCCGTATATATAAAATTATGTTTACACCCATATTGTAGTGTAGGCACGCTAAGTCTAAAAAATGTACATACCTTAATTGAAAAACAGTTTAGTGCTAAAAACTGCTAACAATTATCTGTGTCTTCAGTGAGTAATAATCTTTTTGCTGGTAGGGGGTCTTGCCTTAATGTTAACAGCTGCTGACTGATCAGGCTGGTGGTGGCTGAAGGTTGGGGTAATTGGGGCAATTTCTTAAAATAAGACAGCAATGAAGTTTGCTTTATTGCCTCCTTTCATGAAATATTTCTCTGTAGCATGTGATAACATTTTATACACCATGGAACTTCTTTCAAAACTGCTGTCAATCATCTTAAACTCTGCTACTGCTCTATAAACTAAGTGTATATAACATTGTAAGTCTTTTGTCATTTTGACAGTGTTCTCAGCATGTTCACCAGGAGTAAATTTCACATAAAGAAACTTTATGTGGGCCAGGTGTGGAGGTTCATGCCTGCAATCCCAGCACTTTGGGAGGCTGAGGCAGGTGGATCACCTGAGGTCAGGAGTTTGAGACCAGCCTGGCCAACATGGTGAAACCCCGTCTCCACTAAAAACACAAAAATTAGCTGGGCATGGTGGTGCAGGCCTGTAATCCCAGCTACCTGGAAAACTGAGGCAGGAGAATCGCTTGAACCTGGGAGGCAGAGGTTGCAGCAAGCCGAGATTGTGCCACTGCACTCTAGCCTGGGTGACAGAGTGAGACCCCGTCTCAAAAACAATAACAACAACAAAAAATTTTATTTGTTCATCCTTAAGAAGTAATTCCTTATCCATTCAGGTTTCATAATGAGACTGCAGCAATTCAGTCACATCTTCAGGTTCTACTTCTAATTCTAGTTCTCTTGCTATTTTTACCGCATCTGCAGTTACCTCCCCTACTGAAGTCTTGAGCCTCTTAAAGTTGTCCATTGGGATCACCTTCTTTCAAACTCTTGTCAATGTTGATATTTTGACTTCCTTTCATTCACCATGAATGTTCTTAATGGCATCAAGAATGGTGAATCCTGGCCGGGTAGCTCACAGCTGTAATCCCAGCACATTGTGAGGCTGAGGCTGGTGGATCACCTGAGGTCAGGAGTTTGAGACCAGCCTGACCAACATGGTGAAACCCCATCTCTACTAAAAATACAAAACTAGCCATGTGTGCCATGCCTTTAATCCCAGCTACTTGGGAGGCTGAGGCAGGAGAATTGCTTTAATCCAGGAGGAGGAGATTGCAGTGAGCCGAGACTGCACCATTGCACTCTAGCCTGGGCAACAAGAACGAAACTCTATCTCAAAGAAAAAAAAAAAAAGATTATCTTGACCATGTGGCAAATAAAAGAGAGAAGAGTTGATTCCTGTTATCTGACAACTTTTATAGAGGAAAACTATTTCTACTACTCCCTTGAAATAAGCATTTGAAAGTATAAAGTTGTATACTTTTTTCATTTTTGCAAACTGAGTAATAAAAAAATGGTAAAATGGTTGTAATTCAGCTCTTGTGGCTCTTCCTCCTCTGCCCTTAGATGATGAGGTTTCCCAGGCTTCATCCTCACTTTTCTGCTATCACTGGGATGGGTTAATTGACTTCTAGTTGTTCATGACCAAATTTGTGCCTTTTGTCCAGATTTTTCCCCTGACCTCATATCTAACCACCTGCAAGAGGTCAGTCACCGTTTAAGCCAGGTCCTGGTCCAGTATGCGGCTTCAGCCAGTGACTAGCCGGCAGAAGGTTTGACTGCCTGGACACAGAATTGCCTCAGTCCTTCTTTTTATATCCCTGTCTCAGCTTTGGCGCCACTGCTCACCTGATTCATATAAGATGGAACCTGAGTGTCATCCTCTCAACTCTTCTCTCACCTTCATCCCCCCATCAGTTTCCATTATCTTTGGACCTGTGTCTCACATTTCCTTCCTCCTAGTGCTAGGTATGGAGATACCTGGCACTTCGGTCCCAGCTCAAATTCTCTCCTTCTGTTTGAACTATTTCAGCCGCCTCATCTCTGGTCTCATGTCTCTGGTCTAGCTGTCATCAGATCCACCGTCTGCGTAGCTGCCACAGAGATCCATCTGAAATACTCCTAGGCGCAGCATGTCTATGATCTCGCCTTTACCCCTCTCTCTTCTGCTTTAGCTTATAGCTCCTTTTTGGCGCACCTTCTATTCTAGCAATACTAAGTTGCTTGTAGTTCCTTTCTCTTTCCTCCTATCAGGCTTATGGCCATGCTGTTTGTGCTTAGTGGAATGTTCCTCCTTCACTCCAACTCACTCTCTGAGTCCACTCAGGTGTGGTTTTCTCCAGCAGTATCTTCAGTTTCAACCTTTCTTGCCTCTAAGCAAATGAGGTGTTGGTCCTCTGTGCTTCTATAGTATCCGGTACACACCAACATTATTCCACTGATTATAGTACAGTAGTATTTCTTCATTTGTAGGAAAATTTTGACTCAACAGTACTATGTTTAAATTATTTTAAATATTAAAATATTAAAACATGCTGGTGCTAAGCAGGGCAGGGAAACTGAAGAGAACGTAACATAACATATAGACATTTCCCTCTTACCTCAAGATAAGGGCAAGTATGAAAAGCTAATGTAAAGAGGAAAACCCACACACATGGAAAAATTTTAAACAAGGATGCCCAGCCCCAGGGCCAGGATCAGGGAGAGGCAAGCAAGGCACCTAGGACAAAACCTGCAGGAAGGTTCTCTCCTATGTGTGTTCTTAAATTTTGAGGCACCTCACTTTCCACACCTACTCCTGACCCTGCTTTTAAAAATGAGAATAGAAATACATACCAGACACGTTTATTTCAGACTTGTGCTTGAGCAACATAATTATGTGGGAATACAATCACTTGGGCAGTTATAAATGGGTTGGAGGGGAGAAGAACAAAAGAAGAAATTTTCATGGCAGGATGTGGGGTTGGGACGCGTGTGGACTCACCTCTGGCATGGAGCTAACTTCATGCACCTGGCCAATGAGCTTACAGTAGGACTGAAAAAGCAGCAGCAGCTGGAAGTGCAACTTATATAACCTCTGACACAGCTCCAATTGCTAGAGAGAAATTGCATGGGAAGAAACAGTTATTAAGGATCATTCATATGTAACTAGTGAAATCTCAATGGAGACAAACTTTTTTTTTTTTTAAGAAAACATAACCAGCTGTTATTTCAAATAAAACAGAAAAAAATACAGTCATTAAATATCAGTAAAAAATCCACAGTATAATTTTGATTTTAGTCTGTGTAATGGATCACTAATTAGAGAGTAACACCTATAAAGGGACGGCATGAACAGCCAAATTTCTATTAAATTTACCAATTAAACACCTACCAATTATAGCTGAGTGGTTGTGTTCACTTTTATAAGCTATAAATGATTATTTTTTAAATTCTCCTTTTATTTAGAGTATATTTGAAAGGCAGAATATCAAGCAGTTCTAGGTGTTGAACTTATAAATTCTGTAGACGCCTGGGCCTGGAGTCTGCAGTCACATGGCCTCCAGAGTCCTGTGTCAGGCTTACTGATGATGCGTCTACTCTGTGCTCAATAAGTACTTGTTGAATTAAAGAAAGATAAAAAGGGACCAAAAGTGCTTAGAAAAAAGGAGACATTATGAACACATTCAAGAATTTCTGTGGAAAGGACATCAAAAAGTAATCATATAAAATGGCCCTTGAGCCACACAGATACCTTTGGAATTTAAAATGTTTCAGGCGTACATTTGAACCTCTGTGCCCTGTAATGTGTTCATTATACTGCTTATATATACTATGAGGGAAAAATAACTCCAGTGCCAGTGATCAGACTAGTTTTTGAGCTGTACCCTCGAAACTTTGCCTATTTTATTCCAAGAATGAGTTTGCTCCCAGGTAGTGGATGGGATTCTGTGAAAGGAAAAGGAGCAGCCTTCACTCAGTAGAATTTCATGGCCAGTAGTCACCAGTGAAATTGAGTTAAATATGTGGTTTAAACTAAATGCTTCCCTGTTCAGTTTTCCAATGGGGCAGGATAAAGAGGGCCTTTCTTTTACCAAGGACTACAAAGAATGCAGCTCAGAATTGAGAGCTTCTGAGGTGACTTAAACCTGTTCTCCCAAGTCAATTTAAGGAGAGAAAACACAGGAATTTAGGTTTTAGGAAGAATATTCTATTGATATTATTAACAGACTTTTGATCCTAAAGTTACTAAAATTTATGCTAAGACTATGCTAAATGGTTTCCTTTCTCTTCTCAGCCCTTCCTTGCTCTTTAGGGGAAAACCAATTCTGCCTAAATTTATTTGATCTCTCAACACAGTAACCAGCCTAAGATTAAAGAATCAGCTACACTGACTAATTAATCAAACCGGATGTTTGGTTGTTTTAGTAAAACATTGTATTTTATGGTCCTTAAACTTTAAAAATCTGGTATGAAAGATAACTGCTAGAGATTTGCAAATAAATAAAAAAGTATTGCTTAAAAACAACATTACCTTCACAATTCAGGGTGAAACCTGGCTATGAAAACCCTGACCTTTCTAAGTGCCAAATCATGATAGTTGTTACACAAAATATTTAGCTGATAGCATGTGATTTCATAGCAATGTAAGTTTCTACTTTGGGGCAAAAGCAGCCCAGAACACTACTAATAAACTGCCATGTCTTAATCTACCAAATAAAATAAATTAAAATGAGAAAGGGAAAACATGCTAAGAGATATAACAGTAATGGTAAAAAATGAGGTTTGTTATGGGTCCATGCCTAAATGGACAAAGAGTATGAAAGAAAGTTAACTTACTGCAAGAGATTCCATTTGCTACACAGCAAGCATGGCACAGGAAACAAAGGAAAGGAAAGAAAGTACAGGGTCAGTGTCTGCATGCGACAGAAAGCACGGCCCTTTTCCAAGAGCAGAGCCGTCAGCAGTATTAGCAATGCTCACCCAAACTTGATAAATGCTTGCAAATGTTGTACCCACTCAACATGCATAGCATTCCAGTTAAAAACAAGTTCTAATAGGGAACATATCATTGAAAAAACATAACGTTTACGTTTTTAGGTTCTCTGATTAGTCAGTTTAGATTTTGTCAGTCAGTTTTAGAGACCAAAAGTCCAAACTTTTATTGCTTGAAGATTTTAGTGTATAAATGTGCATAATATGTGAACACAGTAAAACTGAGAGCCAGCTTAGTCTTTTGAAGAATTATAGCCCCAAACAAATTATACTATTGCTTTATATTAATTAAGGCAGAGTCTTTAATATGTTCAGTTTCAGACCTACTAAACTATGACCCTCCAATTAACATTGAACATAATGAACAATCTACATGGTATTTTCCTTAGTTGGATTCTCTTGCACATTGAGAATATTTTATAGAAAAATTATAGGACTGCTATACTTTTTAATTTCAAAGGACTAAACGTTGTATATCTCAAACAAGTGTGAGATGAGGTAATTTTCTTGCATTTTACTTTTTATAATATTTTTTTCTCCGATAGACAATTTCTAAAAGTAATCTACAACTAATGGTTAGTCTAAAATAATGTAAATTTGCAACTAGGCCATGTTCAATAGCAGCTACCATTTTTTGATGTCACCATATCATGGAATTGGTTTATAGAAAGTTTGGGTATGTGGAAAGAGATAAGCAAAACTTGACAGAATGTACTTTTTTAAGGAATCAAACTGACCATTCCTAATTATGCATCAACATATCTAGTTCAGAATTTTCAAAATACTTAAGGACCTAATAGTTTCTAATCCAATAACACCCCCTTATTTTAAAGCTCTTTCAAACAATCTTTGGGTTATCACTTAAATGTATGGTACTTGAAAATAAGCTACAGTGCATAAGAACAAATGAAACCATCAACTTATTATTCATTAGCATCTACAAATATAATTAAAGGACTGCCACCACCACCAAGCCCTACCCTATCCTTCAAGGGTCTATTCTTCCCCTACTTATCATGTGGGGTTGGCACATTAATTACTAAGTAGTTTTTTGGACCCTGGCCATATATTTCTTTCAAAGTTTGGAAGATAAGAACCTTTCAAGCCTGTGATGTGGAGACTACAGAGCTTCAGGTATTTACTATTCTCAAGAAAACTTTATGTCTAGAGGTTTCTAAAACCAAACTTTCTGTTCTGAAATACAGTGTCATATAAGGTAGTCACACAGGGCCAGTCTTAAGTCTATATAGATGGAGAATTTCCAGTGCAAAGACTTTTGGGGCAATAACAAATATGATTGAAACGTTTAGTATGCAGTTTGGGAAGTAAACATTTGCTACTATGGGATTTACCTGTCAGAAGTGTGGAATGAAGCAAGTGCTGAGAATAAATTACATGGTCTTGTGTGAAGAAAACGGCTTTTTATTGTTTTCCGAAACAAGGTTATATCCAAGGAGATCATCAAATCAGTTTAAGTAAACTCTTTTCTGTTCAATAAAGGCAGAGGAAACTTTTCGACTCCAGCTTGGTGCTAAGGAATTTCGTTGTCCATGAATTCCTCCCACTCAGCTCTCAGGGCACAAAACTGTTTTTCTTGGGAGATGGCCAACTGTGATGAATACCAGTTCTCAGGATTCTTCCTAAACTTTCCTTTTTAGGTAGACTAGTTCAGGCTTCTTTGATATTTATTATCTCAGAATCTTTTCATAGGCCACAGGCTTGGACCTAGTTTTCATTTAGGGTTCCAAAAAGATAGTGAAAAATGCCTTTCTATGGGGCCATTTTATGGAAAATATTACAATTCCCCTTGTCCCACCCTCCCATGCTCATGTTTTTCTGTATCCACGATCTAAAAATAATCCCTTGAGAAGTCCTAATAAACTTATCTGTATTTTGGTGACTTTAGGTTCTTTTGAACATGTTGTGGGAATGTCCCTGTTTTATTTAGTCACAGGATTTTCTTCAAGCCCCCTTCCTGCTCTCCTGATTTGGCTTGATTTACACAATTGGATTTAGAGGTCTGTTTTCTCAGAATGAGGAAAAAAAACATCCAGAAGCCAAGATATTAAGAACTTATCATAAACAACTGAGGAATGCGTAGCTCTTAAAGGCCCAGAATAATGGAACTCCTGCTCATTGGCAGTAGCATAGCCATATCTGGGTTCTGTCTTCTGTTCTCAGGTGGATTCTGTGCTTATGACATAACCGGTCACTAAAAATCTAAGAAATTTTTGATATGATAAAAGATGAACTAGGTTGAGGCGGGCAGATCACCTGAGGTCGGGAGTTCAAGACCAGCCTGACCAACATGGAGACACCCCCTCTCTAAAAAAAAAAAAAAAAGAGATGAACCACAGTATACTATAGTGGCTATTATTTTCGTCACATTTAATCTCTGAAAGTCCTGGGTTTAAATTAATGAGATAATATTTAAATAACCTAGCCTAATGATGAAATCTCCTAAACAGGTAGGAATAATATGTACTCACTTGTTGCTAATGATGCTTGGCACATTGATGGCTATTGCATTATCTTTGTTAAGTAGTTTTTTGGACCTTGGTCATAAATATCTCTCAAAGCTTTGATTTGAAAGATAAATATACCTATGATACAGATTATACATCCTGAGGTTTACTTTTTTCAAGAAATCTGTAAGCTGTCTTCAGCAGACATTTCTTTAGTCAACATGAGAAAGAACATGGCTTACAGAAGAAAGACTGACTCTATCTGAAGGATGATGTTTAATAGATTATAACTTAACTGGAGAAAAGTCTTGTCTTGTTCAACATTTAACTTGTTCAATTTGTATAAGAACAGAGGTTGAAGGCTTCCCATTCACAGATTATGTAGATAGAAAATACATAACTAAGAAAGTTAGTGTCCAGAAAGACCCTAACAGTTAGAATGATGATTTGAATATAATAAGATGAAATATAGGAAGGCCAAATGTAAATTATTGTCCTTGAGTTCAAAGAGTCAAATGTTTAAGTAGTGCTCAGAACTATCTGTTGAATTATGAAAGCATTAACTAAAATCAACGCTACATGATGTGGAAACATTTCCAGTTTTTCTGGGGCCACCTCTGCAGAACTGGGATGATGGACTGTGTTAAGTACCTATAGGTAGACTAAAGCCACTGCCTGCAGAACCCAGAGCTGAGAGGTCTACAGACCTTGCTCCCTGACCTGCATTTATGTTCATTTAAACCATCAACTAGTAGCCACTCCAGAATGAATTCCACAAGAGATGGAGAGGTCAATGGAAACCAAAATCCAAATAATAAATAAATCCAAAATCAGTTGGAAATACTAATTTTAAGCCATGAAGAGATTGATTTCTCCTTTTGATATGTGCAGGCTGAGAAAATACTACTAAAGCAGTGTCCGCAAATGAGGAGAAGCGATCTCGTGACACAAGCAAATCACATGCTTTGTTTTTGTCCTATTTTTTTTTTTTCTTTTTTTTGAGATGGAGTCTTGCTCTGTAGGCTAGGCTAGAGTATGGTGGTACGATCTCAGCTCACTGCAACCCCTGCCTCCCAGGTCCTGGTTCAAGTAATTCTCCTGCTTCAGCCTCCCAAGTAGCTAGGATTACAGGCAAGCGCTACCATGCCANTTAGTAGAGACAGGGTTTCACCACGTTGGCCAGGCTGGTCTTGAACTCTTGACTTATGATCTGCCCACCTTGGCATCCCAAAGTGCTAGCATTACAGGTGTGACCCACTGTGTCCAGCCTTATGTCCTATTTAGTGTATGCTGCACCTTATTCTAGGAGAATTGGTATTATTATCACCAAGAAGCCCAAATCACTTACCAATAATGGCTGTCTTTAAAAAAGAGCCTTCCCCAAAATATACTTCCCAAATATTGGAAATAATTTTCTTAGAAACATGGTTTATTTTGTTGTTTTGAACCTGTGCTGAGAATATTCTTCCAACGTATCCCACAGTAAGTTCAGCATACAGGTGCCTGCATATTATATGCAGAGATGCTTATTGCATATGCAAAGAATAATACTCTTTCTTGTTTTCTTTTTGGAAACTCAAGCCCTTTCTATCTAGCTTTATTCTTCATTTTGGGGACTTAGGTACAGAGAAATGTTTTTCTGTTATAAGAAAAACAACAGGCCAAGCATCATGATGACTGGCACCTGGTTCTTGTCTTCAGCGTTAGGAACTCACTGGGCAGCAGGGATGGTGGAGAGTCCATATGGGATAGTCTATATTTAGTGCTAGCTCATTGTTGCCAGGGAGGAAGGCAGGCCCAGTGTTGCTAGATCTTATTTAGAGGCACCAGGAATTCTGTTTTGAGTGTGTATGTGTCAAAGTTTTTTTTTTTTTTTGAGATGGAGTCTTGCTCTGTCGCCCAGGTTGGAGTGCGGTGGCACAATGTTGGCTCACTGCAACCCCCAACTCCCAGGTTAAGTGATTCTCCTGCCTCAGCCTTTTGAGTAGCTGGGATTACAGATGCCCGCCACGTTTTTGTGTTTTTAGTAGAGATGATAGTTCACCATGTTGGCCAGGCTGGTCTTGAACTCATGATCCACCTGCCTCGGCCTCCCAAAGTGCTGGGATTACAGGTGTGAGCCACCATGCCCGGCTGTATGTGTGAAAGTTTTTAATTTTTAAATGCAGGTCAATTAACATTGTGCAAGCTTAACACAACAGGTATGTGACTTGGTTATAGTTCACAAGCCACCAGTGCATAAACTTTCTTCATTATTTTTATGTCTGCAACTTTATGTTGAGAATAGAAGAAAAATTGGAAAAATAAATATTCAGCACCCAGCAAAGAACTATATTGTCTTCCACAAACAATTCTACAGCAATCCTCACTTAAATCACCTGTTAAGAATGACTAGAAATTTTCTACTGGCAAAGACCGGACCAGACTGGGGAGGGCTTGGAGGTTGAGAAGCTTTCATATGCCTGTCTGTACACTGTCATCATCTCTGACAGACTGATATCTTTATTCAAGAATTTACTTTGCTAGGTTTAGTCAAGTAAGCACTAATCCTTTCATGAAGTACACACTTCTGTGAAATAGAACAGATATGAGTAATACTTACTGGTATATTCATTTTGCTATTTATATCCAGACATAGATTCTGCAAGTTATAAGTTCACTTATTCCCATTCTACCTGTCCTCAGGCAAGGGTGTGCACATAATGATTGGCAACATCAAATCATTCCAGAAGACAGAGAACCTGATTACAGATGAGTGTTGGAGAGAATCACTTGGAGCTAAGCTAAGCAGTGATCTGAGGCCAGACATTTGTTGGGTTTTATTTTGGGGTAAAGGCCAAATGGTAGCTCTAATCAGCAAAATTGTATCTCCACATCTCTAGATATAAGATCTTGATATTTAAGTGGAATGGCACCATGATTTCTCCTCAAGGCCCACCTTTTGTGTGAAAGGACTTCTTTCCCTCAGTTTGCTCTCACTGCCCATTTCCGGCCTCGTTGAGTGTTACCTGTGATGGGGGCCGAGGCTGCCTGATTTGTGTACTGCACACCATGCCTCAAGGCGGGTGGACTTAGAAAGTGTGAGGTTTGAGCTGCACACCCAGTGGCCAGACTACTTCCAGAATCTACTAACCAGTTAAAACAGAGACTGTAACCATGTATCCAGATGACTTAAATATCCCTGCCTTGCCTGACTTACTAGGACTGCCAACCTCTTTTGTTAAGTGGCATATAATTTGCCTTCACACAGACTCCAGAATTGTTACACATGTAGGACTGGCAGCATCTTCCTCAGGACATCTGGTCATTGCCTGAGTTCTCTGGTCATCAGTGTGTCCATGACCATTTGGAAATATTCTGAAACACTGAGCTAACACTGACAATGGGGCCAAAGCTTGGTTGGTTTTTGCAAAAACGTTGGAAACACCAGACTCAGAATTTGCCCTTCCATCATTCCTTTCCTAATCAATCTGACTCTCATCCCTCTTGGGTGTTTTATGCATCCTCCCTCCTTATTCATGCAGATTCCTAAAGCTATATTAGACATGCTGGAAATTACTCTCGAGCATTTTCCCATGTGTATGTTTTGCCTCCAAAATTAAGCTAGAGAGTATGGACAAATGGAAAGAATATGGCCTTTAGACTTTGCCTCTCAGCTTCAGGTTTCTTAGCTGCAAAATGGAAAAACCCTTATTTCAAAAAATTGTGGTAAAGGATCAAATGAGATTACATGTATACAGTACTTGAAAACATTACTTTCTTCTTTCTAATTTTGTACTCTCAAAACCTTTATAGTAATGCTACCAGGGTTGTCACATATAAACAAATGAATAAATAAACTATATTTTTTGAGTTCTTGGGTTTAGTAAAAACACATATAGAGATGGAGAGGAATAAGTACTACAAAATAGAAGCAAAGAAAGAGGTGCGTGAAGAGGAAATGAGTGAAAGCAATAAGCAAAAAATAAGAGAAATACTTGTTTGAGGAAGATAAAGAACCAGGAGAAGAAGAGGGAGCAACTAAAACCAAGTAAAACAACTTAATAGAAATAAATCACAAGCACAACAGAAACGCATATTTTAAAGTTGGAATGTTTGGGAAATAGGATAAGTTAACTTGAATGTCTGGTTATCCTTCGGGTTAACCAGGAAGCTATAAACAAACAAATAAATAATAGATTTGGTTTCAACCCTTGTTCTTAAAAATCTGCAATGTATTAATGCACTTTCCTGTCTCAGGCTCTGTTATAGAGCATATAAAAGAATTTGGTGATTGAAGGCAAGTTTTCAGATAACAAGTTGTTTTTTACATACTATTATACAAACTATATACCATGAACTTGATTAGGTTTGTGCTCATTGTAAATCCTAACCTGGTAACTGTTCTCTGGACTGAATTTATTTTAACAGCAGAGTTTAGCAAGGGAGGGCTGGGCTGGAATGACAGCCATGAGTGCTACTGGGTGTCCATAAAATCTGAAACCTAGGTAATATTTTATCTTTTAAAAATGTATCACTTCTGGGATATGCTAATGGGACAGGTTATTCAGTGAAAATCTAAGTCACAAATCATCAGAGACAGCACAGCACAGATGCATGTATAGGGATTGAAGAAAATGCTAGAATTTATTGTGATTTTTGAACTGCATATTCAACTCTGCTTTGCTTATGAGATATATTATATAAGTCATTAAACACTTAGTTTAAAAATGTAAGCAAACTAGTTATTATTTGCCTATGTTGACAGACTTTGTGTCCAGGCTACATCTCTGCCTGTCACTTCTCAGCCTTGGATAAGTCAAACTGTGGTGTCTTCAGCTATAGAATGGGCAAATGCAACTGCCCTGCTTCCCTCTAGAGAGATCAAATGACTAAGGAGTGTGAAAGTGCTCTGTAAACCATAAAGTGAGATATAAACGTGTGTCTTCAAGAGGGGCAGCAATGTGGAAATGCAACCTCTACTTCAATGCCCTCTTTAGATATTTCTCAGCTTTATAGTTTGCTTTTTCAATCCTGGTCTCTTCATTAAAACTTATCAAGGAGTTCACCAACTGACTCAATCAATGCTGGATAGTGTTACTCTCAGAACTGCAAACTTGCTCAATAACAAATACCAAATTGAAGTGGAACCACTGGTGTTTGGTTGAAAATTTTTACTCGAAACCTCTGACCAGAAACCAGACCTTACTGGATTCTTTTTATGTAAGTAAAGTACTGTTTCTAACACAGGAAGATGTTTTCAGATCCTCCCGATGGTGTGCCATGTAAAACGCTTTTCCAGTAGTAATGACATACTTCCAAGGTAACACTGTCTTTCCCTTGATGGGGCAGCAGCCTCCTAAGTTCCCTTAATGACTCTTGCCACTTTGAGCTGTTTTCAAGGTAGACGGAGTGGGAGAGCCTTTATCTAATCATCCCTGCTGTTAACCCTTTTCAGTTGCTAATTATTGAGGTTAAATACCCAAGTCCTACATGGGCTGGCTTCTGCCAACTTGTCTAGACTCTTCTCAACCTTTCCTCCACGGGGCTTTCGGTGCTGTCAGCCACATGGGCTCTCCTTGGTTCTTGGAAAGGCCTGCTACCCCTGCCTTGGGGCCTTTATGCAGACTACAGGCCCGCTCCTCTCCATCTCATATTTTAGATATCTGCCAAGATGCTACTTCCATGGAGACTCCTTCCCAGAACTGTCCTCCCCATTGGATCCAGTGGCCTTGCTCTGTGATCTCTCAGCTTCCTGTTCTCTCCTGTTCTTAATGGTCCTTATTGCAGTTAATGGCTGTATGACTGTTTCATTAATGTTTGTCTCACTGATAAGATCAGAAGCTCCACAAGGGAAAGGCCATGTCTGTTGCTCATGATTGTGTCCTCCATGGGGCCCTACAGGAGGCACTCAATACCTAGCTGCATAATGAATGATTTTCATCCATTCCTACTCTGTCCTTTAATTTACTTTAAGGTGCGGCACACTGGTCTGAGGCGTGTAGCAATCCCAAATGAGAAAATCTGTTTTAGAGTGACTGCTGAAGGGTTGGGAGAAACTTGCTTCATTGAAGAAACTAAGTGACTCAGTGAAGAATTAATGAAATTTGGCTTTATATTCTGAATTAAGAATAAATTTATTAGGCAATTGTTAGTATAGTTAGACAGTGTCCAGCAAAAAAAGGTTATTTTTATACCTCTATGTTTCCAAAACGAAGAAACCACCCCCCTCACAAATCCCATCAACACACAGTCATGCTTGAATGTCATTGTCTTACTCTCTTGGTTTCATGTAAATGTATGGGGTGACTCATTCTGCCTCTTCTTTTCTCAAGTTGCAGGCTTCTTGGGTAGACCAAAACTAACATTACACTGTTAGAGCACAGAAGAGACCCATTCTAACAGGCTTTTATTACCTTTTCTTCGGAGTCTCCTGGTTGACAGGTAATTACTCCATCTCTTGATCCTCCCGCAAATGTTGCCTTACAATTTGCAAGCCACTGTTGTCAGCAAGAGAGGGAGAGACATAGGTGAATTCAGCAATGTTCTGAGAACATTTTTGGTTATCAATTCTGTTAGAAAAAATTCATTAAGGTTCTAATGAGAGTAAAATGAAATTCTGCTGTAATGACTTTTTGAAAAGGGTCGTATTTGGGGGTTAAAGATGAACTGCTGGAAATTAAAAGTATCTGCTTATATGGGTTCAGTGATGGTCTTCTAAAAATATAATTTCGACATTATACTATGTTGCCCTAGGGAATGGTTTCACCACACTGTTCTTAATTTATGTATAAATGAATACATACAGCTAGAAATCTTCCATATGATTAAGGTTAGACGATAGGACCAACACTTTCTCACAGGCTGGGTGATTCTGGTCAACATGACTTGACTTGGACACACTTACTTCTGTTATGCTGCTGTGGCTGTATCTGCTATGGGGCAGATCTCCTTCCGTATTAGATCTCCTTCAATATAAGAAAGGCTATTATGGGAACAGCTCAGCTACTGAGAGATCTTGCCAGTCTCAAACATCTGGGATAGTAACTAACACAGGTGTGGAAGGGAACCTTTGAGCAGAAAACAATGAGCATTGAAGAACCCACATTCACACTTGACATTAAAAGCTAGATTAGTTCGCCCACCAAAATGAAAAGATTACTTTTACTGGCTGATGACTGAGAAACTGAAAACAGTGACAGGTAAAAGGCCACAGAAACAGAAGACAAAGAGAATTGTTATGGTGGAAAGTTAGAACTCTTGCTCTTGGGCAGGTCAAGATAACATCAGTAACAGCAATAGCAATAAACCCCAAATTGGTAACTTTACAATGAACATCTTCTATCTATGTGGCATTGTGCTGGTCAGTTTATAGATATTATTTCTGTTTTCAAGGCAATATCATGTTGTAGTTAAGGGCATGGGCCTTTGAATCTCACAGCTCTGGGTTTCAATCCCCCTCTTCCAGTTCCTAGCTAGTGAATGAAGGTAATAATAGCAACTCTTGGGGTAGTTGTGAGCATTAAATAATATAATTTAGAAGATTTAACTCTTAGCAGGTTGTTGGACATATAAAAAGGACTCGGAAGTGATATCTGCCATGACTATTATAATTGTTATATCTTGATAACAATCCTACAAATCAGCTATTATTACCAAGGAGTTACAGATGATGCATCTGAGATAAGAGATGGCAAATCACTTACCCAAAGTCCCTAACTCTTAAATAACTAAGGAGTGGTTTAAACTACAGTCAATCTGACTTCAAAACCCATGCTTTTTCTATAGTGTCTGGTATGCTATAGGAAGTGCTCAATGTACACTACATGCAATTTTTCCTATTATTGAACCACTGAGTTCTCTGGGCCTTCAACTGTGGATCTGTCAGAAAACAGGGGGCTTGCATGGATGGTTTTAGATCACTTCTGTCACTAATATTTTACAGTCTAGATCTATTAAGGAAGAAAAAATTAAAAAGCAAAAGCTGAGGTGAAGAGAAGCCCTGGGGACTGGCAGACACAGCCTCCAAGAGTGGCCAAGAGAACAGAGTGGAGATCCACCACAACTAGTTTTGGATGAGGCTAACGCTGGATGGAAGTAATCACCAATTTCAAATCTCTGAGGAAAGTCAGAACACTGGTAAGCAACGTATCAAGCAGATACCTATTTTTTTTCCAATTTCTTGGTAGGGCTAAAAGTGAATGCTGAAAATTTCTCTTTTGGAGATACCATTTTTAAATATAATTAATATCGTATATAGTTCTGCCACCATTAAATTGGAATTGTAATTCTTAGCAAGGGAAAAGGTGATGTCTGTCTTCTCCCTAAAGAGGCTATCTTAGAGTTAATCACAACACCTCCCAAGAACTCAGAGCGGTTGGGTTCATTGAATTTTAACTGACTGCACATGCATAGAAACACAAAAGCTTACTGAGAGTGTGGCCTCTTTTCTGTTGTTGTAGGTATCCAAATATTCTTGCAGTTCTAATACACTGAACTTGAGCTTGTCCAGAAGTCCACATGAAAGGAGCTAAAGACAGGAAAATAATTGGTATTAAAACAACAAGGGAGATAGCAACACAAAGGCATGGCTACACAGAAAAAAGTATATTTGGAAGTAAAGTTAAAGGAGTACCGTGTCATCCATTTTAACAAGCTGTGAAATTTGGAATTTTGCTCAACTATCAGCTACAATTGCAATGGAATCCTAGCTTGATAATGCAAGCCTCCTATGAACATATCCATTCTTTCCCATATTAGTATAGGCAGTTAAGACATACAGTACCAAGTATTCCACAGAAGCCCACATTAAGATATGGTTTCCATTTATACATGACTTCTACTGTTATCACCCAATAATACTCCAAGCAGTGTGAAGACAAACCTCCAAAAAGACTTTCAAACTGATTTTGTACTTAATCTATACCTTAAGTCATTTAAGACAGAATGATTTTTCATATTGTATTTTTTGCTACAAGACAGCCACCAGTCAGTCAGGTAGGACCGACTCTTCAGAGACTTTTAAAATCAAAGCACATCCACACTGGTTCTGAACCTCAGTAGTTAACTGAGCATGTGGTGATTCTGTCATATGACGAGCAATAGAAAGAAAGGTATCACACAACTCTCACTCTCCAGGAGCTCGTCAGTCCCTAGGAGTTACATGCATAAAGCCACGATTTGCCATCAGCCAGAGACTGTTTCGATTATTCTTTAAGCTCATCTTTTGCAGTCTGAGCTGGGTAAATCCAGAGGGCAGTAGCTCTGTTAGAGACTTGGGGGTGGGGAAACTGATGACATGTTGCCTCTGAAGACCCATTTTACTGGGCAACCTGGCATTATGGGCACTGGCTATGTCAGCTCCAGGAGGTTATCTGACCATATATGCCCAGCTATGAAAATCAGAGTCATCAGAGAACAGTGCCACGGATGCAGAGGGAACACAGAAGTGGATTTTTCTCCTAATTCTGTGAAATGGCTCTGCCTTGGCCTGGACTGGCCATGTGCAGTAATTATGCTGTAGACCTGGAGGCCTTTGGGAGTCATATCACAATACAGCGCTGCTCACAACACTGATGGTATCTGTAAAACAAACCACAGTGCAAACCTGCTACCTGAAGTTCTGCACTGCAAGTTGCGCAGGCCCTCTGCTGTCAGAGCAGCGCTGGGATACTCACAGTCTCTGCATCCACAAAAAGTGTAGGGCATTCAGAGCAGGAGGTGAGCATCTGGGAAGAGCTGACAAATTTGGATCCGATTCCCCGGAGGTTATCTCCAAGGTAACTGGCTGCATCACAGGTTAGGAAGCAGAACCTTTTCTGAATATTCTGCAAGGCAAAATAGTGACCATTTGTAAAGGTCAAGTTCAACTTATATGTGATAAAAATATTTTGGGGAGAGGGGCAGCTTCTTTTTTTACATTTCAATTACATTAGCTGATTTTTTTTACTTGACATAAAAATCGTGTATCTTCACTGTCTACAACATGTTCTGAAATATGTGTACACTGTGACATGGCTAAATTGGACTAATTAACATGCATTGCCTCACATATTTTTTTGGTGGTGAAAATACTTAAAATCTACTCTCAGCAATTTTCAAGAATACAGGATTATTAATGGAAAAAAACTCTACTTTTAAATCTTTATAAAAATACGTGAGAATGGGTCCTTAGGGTAATGGGGGAGGGGAGCAGAATGAATGTTTATGTTAAATCAACTAAGTAATGATTCAGTGCGGACGTTTCTTCCTAAAATGCCATTTTCCAGTGCGTGGATGCTTGTGCAGGGTGAGTATCCTTCTCTGAAATGCTTGGGACCAGAAGAGTTTCCAGTTTTAGATTTTTTTTGGATTTGAAATATTTGCAGATACATAATCCCTTGAGTTGCTCCAATGAGCATTTCCTTCGGGTGTCACGTTGGCACTCAAAAAGTTTCAGATTTTAGAACACTTTGGATTTTTGTATTTGGGATGCTAAGCCTGTATAATCTTTTTGATCAACACTGCTTTTCTTTTTGCTTGTGATTAGTGCCAATCAGAGTTTAAGTCTTCCTTGCTTGTTTGTCAGATCGGTGAAAAGAGATTACTTCAATGTGGACAAGATGAAAAAGGTCAAGAGGCGTAACTCTTTTCTGCTTCCCAGGATCAGAGCTCCTTGAGACAGAGCATGAGAATTGTGCATTTGAGCCTCTGAAGAGTAAAGTAGTAAATACAGAATGGGACCTCTCTTCCTCTGAGGGCATGTCTGGTGAGGTGTCTCAACTGAGCCTAATTCTGTCCTAGTGCTTATATATATATCACTCATTAATCCTCATCACCAGATGAACAAGCTGAGGCTAAGAGAGGTTAAATGACTCGCTTAAGGCCATGCAACTAGTAAGTGAATGAGTAAGGATGGGTCTGATTCCAAAGTTCACAATCCTTCCATAATCTAGATTGCTTCTTAAAGCTGATTGCTTCTCCTATACTACCTAAGGAAAAAAAAAATAAGAAGAATATGATTCACTGTGCCTGTGTCAGTGCCAAAATAAGAACACTTTTACCCCCCTGAACTTCTAGCGAACAATGTTTTCTGTTTTTGAGATGGGGTCTTGCTCTGTCACTCAGGCTGGAGTGTAGTGGCACAAACATGACTCACTGTAGTCTAGAACTCATGGGCTCAAGCAATCCGCCCACCTCAGCCTCTCAAGTAGCTGGTACCACAGGTGTGTGCCACCATACCCAGATGATTTTTTAAATGTTTTTTGTAGAGATGGGGCTTGCTCTGTTGCCCAGGCTGGTCTTGAACTCCTGGACTCATGCAATCCTCCAGCCTCAGCCTCTCAAAGTGCTAGGATTACAGGCATGAGCCACCATATCCAGCCTTTGTACAATATCTTTAACAAAAGAACAAACTATGCAACCAAAAAAAAAAAAAAAAAAAGAAAAAGGAATTCCAGTGCTAGGCATTGGCTTTCCCCAGTGATGTTAATACTTTTTGGGTTGTCAAGCGTAATCCATAAAAAATACTACCTGTCCTGTTAAGGGGAAATTAGCAGGTCCCCCAAACAATAGTAGGTTTTTGGTTCTTTATAAGTTATATTAGAAAAATGCCAACCATATTGCATATTATTTATTTTTTATTTAATATATCTGAGAATCTTGGTAGAATGTATAACATACTCATATCTCTCTGGTGTTAAGTTGGTTTTGTGTCAATTAAATAAAAGACCCAAAACTGACCATGTTAGAGCTGAAAGAAACCTGAAATTCCATGTCTGTCATTGCATAGCCAGTTGAGTGGCAGAGCTGGGATTAGGATTCAGGTCCCCAAATAGTGTGCAGTTCTTTCCTTGTTACCTAAGGATAAGGTAAGATCCTGGCTTACTTTTTCTTATACAGAGAAGACTGGATCTATCAGGGAACTTCGGAGCCAATATAAAGTCAGTGACATTTAGGGGATATAAATTCAGTTTTTTCTTCTTCTGAATTCCAACACACATTATGTAAATTGGTGACCTTATGTGACCCATGATGATGATATTCTCATGTAAGAGCAGAAAATACAATGACTGAGACACTTGGAAAAATGTCCATACTGGAAAAACAGAAACCATTTCCTTATTTTTAAAATGAAATTATTTTTGCAATTACCTCTTCCCTACCTCTTCCAAAATCCAACCAAACACAGAAACATTGTATTCATGCTTACAGGGAAATGTTGGAAAACAGTAAACAGACATTGTGAGGAAATGACAAATGATTCATAATAGCCAGAATGCAGGTGTGAGATGTATTGCATTTCCAGCATATTTTATTAATGCCGATTTTGCACTCAGTATTCCTTTCATATAGCATCTGATCAGGGTTGAGAAAGTTCTTAAGGCTAAATGTAATATTAAAAAGCAAAATAGTAGCTACACATTTAAAAAAATTATTTTTGCAGATAAGCTCCATAGGGTGATTGATTTAATACACTGATGAAAAAGAAATTCAAATCCAAATGAGCCCGCCCACGGCCCAGGCCTGGCCCCATCTCCCAGCTCATTTGCATTTTAATTTTTAGTACTTTCTTCTCCCTCCCTCCACAACTGCTCTGCTCTCTGCACAGTGGACGCTATGAAACCTGAACCCACTGCCTTGCTGCTGGGTGGTGAAAGATCCTAGAGAGTTAACTGTTACCACACAACAAACGGCACATCAGCCCCTCTCAGGGGAAGGGGTCATCTTCTGTGAGGACATTGGATGGGATGTCTGAGGCCTTTCACTCCTTAGCCACAGTTTTATCATTTGGGAGTTAGCCTTGTTCCCTCTAGGTCTGTCTCCTGCAATCTGAGTACTCTCTCAGAAGTGGCTAGAGAATCCCCAGGGGAGGTGGCTCTCGGCACACAGGCACGGCTGCAGAACTCTCTGGTGGGCAGTCAGTCACCCCTGGGCTCTCACCAGAGGGTCCAGACTCTGTGGAGGGGGCAGGGCCACAAAGGACATGCCAATGACCATGAGGAAGAGCAGCCAGCCTGTGCTGATGGCCTGCTAGATGCACGGCCTGAGCTGTTTCTCCATGTAAGCTCTCATAAGTAGTCTTTGAAAGATAAAACTCATAGACGTTGTTTTCACTTCCATTGTGCAATGGAGGACAATGAAGCTTGGAGAACTTAAGGACTGTCTGTAGGCCTAGTAGGCTAGTAAGTGGCCAGAACTGGGATTTGGACGTATAGGTAGGTTTAACGTCAAAGGCTAGTCTGACTTCACTGTACTCTTTTCCACATGGAAATCACCATCCCATACAACTCTTTTCCCTTTATGCCTCACCAGCATCTCAACTGGTAGGTTGCCAGGTGCCAGGCAGGTAGAGGGTGGAGACAGGGCCTCCCTTCTGCCTTCCTCATACTACCCACATACCTGGGTACCTGGGAGAGGAAGTCAGGCTGAGTGGTGACTGCAGCTGTGGGCCATGGCTGACCTGTCAGTCTTGGTAATGAACCTGCTGGTCTACTGGCATGAAGTCAGAAGCTGTGTGTTTAAGGTTTCCATGTATTCTTCCTACATCTACTGAGCACCTAGTGTATGTTAGAAACTGTCAGAAATCAAGGTGAGCAAAGCACTGTTTACCTGCCCCCTTCATGGGAGACAGACACCTAAACAAGTAATTATCACACAGAGTGACAAGTGTAATGGATACAAGTACAAAATCCCGAGATGTCAGGGGAAGGGAGTAAGATGTAACAGAAGGCTTTGCTCACTGAAGTGATACCCAATCAGCACTGTGAATGTAACTGAAAGTGCAGGGACAAGGGGAGATGACCATTCCAGGCAGAGGGAAAGTATTGTTCAGGACTATCTAATTAAGCATGAATTGTCCAATAACTCTAATAAAAATGACCATAACAGCCAAACTTAAATATGTATTATTAATCATTCTTTAAAAATAGCTTTTAGA